CAAGAACAAGCCGAAGCCTCCCGTCATCATCACCCGGGAGAGCGCCAACACACTCCGGGCCCACATCCTCGAGGTCGCCAGCGGGTGCGACGTCTTCGAGGCCGTTGCCACCTACGCCCGCCGCCGCCAGCGCGGGATCTGCGTCCTCAGCGGCACCGGCACCGTCAACAACGTCACCCTCCGGCAGCCCTCTCCGGCGGGCGGCGTCGCCGCCCTCCACGGCCGGTTCGAGATCCTCTCCCTGTCGGGCTCTTTCCTCCCGCCTCCGGCGCCTCCGGGGGCCACCAGCCTCACCATATACCTCGCCGGCGGGCAGGGGCAAGTCGTCGGAGGCAGCGTCGTCGGGGCCCTGATCGCCGCCGGCCCCGTCATCATCATCGCCTCGTCGTTCACCAACGTGGCCTACGAGCGGCTGCCGCTCGAGGAGGAGGAGATGGCGGCGGCACCGCCGCCTCCGCCGACGGCGAGCGGCGGAGGGATCAACGGGGGACAGTACCCCGACCCGTCATCGATCGGGCTGCCCTTCTTGAACCTGCCAATTAACAACGGGATGCCGAACGGACAGCTCCCGCTGGACGGCACGTGGGCCGGGAACACCGGCGGCGGCCGGCCGCCGTATTAGGATAATTATTGAGGTCAGATATATTATATCTAATATATTTGATGCTTAAATTGTTTGTTGTTGTTTTTACTTTTTATCCGTCTCTTATGTCTGTACATTATTACGTCCGTTAAAATTAGGTCTTTTGATTTTTCTTTGATTTTGTGATTTGGGGACAACAAAAAAAAAAAGATTGATCTATTTTTGTTACTGCTTTGTGACATTTTAATTTTCAGATGAATTTGAGAAATAATTGATTTTTGAAGTTTTAGGACTTCCATTTTTTTTTTCTTTCTTCTTTTTTGGGACAATGAATTCATTTTATTGCAACTTGCTGAGTAAAGTGGTTATGAGCTGAATTACTATTTCACAATTAAAATACATAAAATTAAAATATGTCACTAACTCAATCAAATTATTAAATTAATTGAATTAATGGTTATATGAGATTTTTGTTATATTAATTAATTGAATTAATGGAAATAAACATGAAAATACCCATCTAATTAATCAATTCCTAATTATAATTTTGGCAGCTCTGAAACGAAAAGCGATTATTGACTTCACATATTTAACTTAGAAGTTTGGAGTTACTTTTTTACCGAAGAGTTCTGAAGCAGTAGTCCTATATTTGTACGTTTTCACTTTAGAAGTTCGAATAATTTACCTTTTTTTTTAATGTTAGGGTTCTCAAGCACTCCTATATTCGCTTAATTAAAGGCAAAGTTGATTAGTAGGATTAATCATTAATTATTCGACTAATTAATTAGCAGATTATAGACTAGTTCCAGCTTCATTCAATTGTTCATTAGTACTGCTAATTATGAAGCATTAGTTGTCATGAAAGGGGCAAGTGTTGGTAATAAATAGGAGGAGAATTAAAATGGACTTT